CCAGTGAAATAGACCACTTCAAGAGTAAAGGGAATTAGCTTCCATTTGTCCATTTAACATTTCTATTGAGTTTTTCAGGTTTATTATATCAAATGATGAGCAAAGGCTGAAAAACCATGAAGACACAGTATGGTATTCAACACAAAATATCAAGAAAATGAAATTGCAGTGGGCAGCTCAGCATATTTTTATACTAAATGAAGTATCTGAGATATGTTTACAAGTGCAGGAGTGGGGTTTATCACATAGGCAGCACTGTTAGCCCACCCTGCAGGGTCCAGGGGTGGGAAGGCAGACAGGCAACTCCTTCCTATCAGCACAAAGCTGAGGTTGGGTGCTCCCTGYGCTCTCACCTTACTTTTATATTGTGTTAATTAAAAAAAAAATCAAAAAAAGCATATAAAGGCAGAAAAGAAAAAAAAAAAAGGAATAAAATCTTTGAAGATTTAAATTGAAACAGGATTTTTTTTCCCCCCAAAAAATATAGATTCAATGACAACAACGCATTCCGTATGTATGACAATTTAGTCAAATCTCATGTTTGGGGAGGCAAAGATATCAGTGCTGTTAATATAAAATCAGTCTATTTTTTCATGCTTTAAACAATATTAAAGCAGAATACTATAACCAATGAAGAAGCATTTTATTGAATCTGAAAATACTTTCCATTTTTTATTTCGTTAGGAATATAGAAAATGTTTGTATTCACTCTGTAAAAGAGCCACAAAATCTTTGGGAGAAAAGAAAAAACAAGAATCAGTTTTTCACTTATTGATGCTGTCAAGTGTTAGCTGAGGGCCAAATCCTTATGTTGAATCACTCCCACTGCCAAAGCGAACACAGGGACATGTGTCATTTGTTAGATAYCCAATAGCCCAATTTGTGCTGGATAAAGTCTCTGAGATCTTCTRGATCCAGGCTAGACTTACCCAGAATTATCCCTGTTTCCTGGAGTGCCTTTGGCTGAAATCCTCCAGCAGAGGCCACAGAAGAAAATCAAGGCCCGGTCTGTCYGTGTGTTACCTTTGCCTGCTGCTTGCTTGTTTTGGGCTCCTCACACTGTGTTAACCGTTTCCTCTCCTTTTGCTGAGCACTTTGCCCAGGAACTGCCATTTCTCTCATGCTGGTGACATCTGAGCTGATTAAGCTTGGTCTTAAAYGAGCTTTTCACCCTCATAGAGGAAGCTCGGTGTGGTTGCAAAAGCCTGTCTCCCGGCAGTTCTTTGAATGCAGTGTAGGGTATCCATTGGGTTCCTCTCCTCCTTCCTTCGGAGATAAAGGAAATGCAAAATTATATTTCCTTCCCCCCAAAAAGTTATACCAAGATGTTCCTAGGTACCGCAGTCCTGATGTGCCACCTCCATGCACGCACGGATGTGGGAGCTCACGAGGGCTTCTGCTCCGCTGTGTGGCTTAGCGCAGCAGGAAAGGGAAAGGAAAGAGCATCCCCCCGTCTGCCGCATGGCACGCACAGGTAAGACTTGGAGCACCGTTCCCGTGCAGTTCACGTGTTGCCTTGAGTGTGGCCGGCACAGATTCAGTCTTTAATTGCGTTTCAGATGAGGGAAGGAAAGGCTGGAATGAGCAGCATTCTCTCTGCGTCTCTCACTGTAACGCATTAGGCAGCCTGTGCCTCTTGGTGATGGCCGGAAAATAAATGATATTGAGAAAGGTCTGAAGCAAGCATTTTTCTCCTTCTAAACAAATTTTCCAAGGTCTGTATTTTAAATGAATTACACTTTGAAAAATTGYCTCTTTTTTTTTCTTTCTAGGTTTTCTTCAAAAACTTTACTTTTGATTGTGGTGGTTTTAGTTCCAGAAAACAGAGTTTTCAAATTATTAATACCAAGATTTATTTTTATCTTTTTTTTTTTTTTTAGCTTTCTTTTCCTTACTTTTTTTAGGAAACATCTAAAATCCTGTCCTGGGGGATAACAAGGTTGTTTGATTTCAATTTCATGTTCTTTAAGTAATTAACTTATGTTCTTGTTTTAGCTATTTTAGCTGTCTCATGATAAATGGTCCCRGATTCTCTGTGTAAGCTCCACAACCATCTGCAGGAAAGAACTCTGAACTGTAATTCAGAGAACACTGTGAAACCTGACCTTGGTACCAAGATGCACCAGTTTAAGAGAATGAGTCTTTATCAGTGGAGATAAAGTGAAACAGCTATTCATGTACTTGTATACTTTCACACCACTTTTGGTTTGGGACTCAGTCACGTATGTAGGTAAAAGTACAGCCTTGGCAAGTCCRCTCCGTATCAGCAGGAATGCATGCCAGAAGCTCCCGAAAGGAACTGTTTTAAACTGAACCCCTTACACGCTGGTGTGTAACCCAGCTGGAGGTGTGTGCATGGGATGTCCCAAGGAGGCAGATCCCTCGGCGTACAGATCACCCCCAAACCTGATTTCTCATTCCTTTGCATCCTATGGACTTCTTTTCACACCTGTATGAAGTGAATGATAGTGTTTCATACTGAATTTACACCGAGCAACATCAACCTGATAAAATCCCGAGATGTGGGCTAGATTCTGCTTCTATTTATAGGGCCTTTAGAGCTTGACCGCCTGTGCCAGGGCCAGTCTTGATCTACACAGCAGGTGAGACCAGGACCAGATTTTTTTATTTTTTTATCTTCCAGTTTCCCCAGTGACTGATTCCCTCCACTTCAGTAAGAAATGATTATCACTTTTATTATTTATTAAGTGTCCCTGTCACTTTTGTGATTAGGACATAATCAAGACATCGAGACGTATTTCCCCAACTCAGTCTTCACACTGGCTTAAGTTACATTCTTTGAGGGGTGGTGAGGTGGAAGCYGGCGTTGCTCAGTTTCAGGGATCCCTCGCCACCTTCCTCAGGCGGCCTTCTCCCATTCCAGGCCTTTTAGCTCCTTAGAACAGTCTGCAGGTTCTGRTAAGCCAGCCAGAAGCTCTTTAAAGCCAGCAGTGGGCCCCAGGGTGACGGGGATCGTGGCATGCAGAGAGTGCTCAGGCCATGGGCCCTCTGCAAGTTAGGTGGACCTGGGTTTCAGGCAGGAGAGATCTGAAGCAGATGCTGTGAAGTTACTCAACTTTTTGCTCTGCTCTTTGTTTTTTCTGCCAGTGCTGTTAGGAGCAAAGCCAAGGCTTGCTTTTTCATCCTTCTCCACCTTAGTCCTTTATTCCAAGATGGGACTATCAGCCCCTGGCAATATTTAATACATAGGCACGTGCAAAACCACTTAATTCTCAAAATATGCTGCCAGCTACAGGCTTTGAGAAAAGCAAAGAGTCCTTGGACTGATTTATACACACTGACAGTCCCGCTGCGTTATCCTGCTTGTTACGAAACCTCTCTCTTGTCCTCAGACAAGCACCTACTGCACTAGGCAGCCCAGAAGCCACCAAAGGCTACGTGCTTTTAACGCGGGCTGCGGAGGGCGAGGGCTGGAGAGGGGAAGTGGGTTCCTCACATGGAACGGGCGCATCGTCCCAGCCCTCCTAGGGATCCTCATTGCCCCAGGTCTGCGCTGCAGCACCGCAGCAGTGCTCGTCCCAGCACCTTGTGGTCTCCGAGTCACGCACCTACTGAGAGGAGGAGGGAGATGGAGGAGGAAGGCTGCTCAGTGCCATGTCTCCAAGCGCAAGCAGGTGGCAGTGCACCTTAGGACATGTCGGAGGTACCCGCGCAGTCAGTGGCACCACTGGCTCTGCCGCGGATTTTGCATCTCCTGCTGCAGGGGCACTGCGGGGCATGCAGGAGCTGCAAGCAGGGGCCTTAGGAGTTATTTGGTTGTGACAAAATAATGGCARTATCAGGTCGGTCTCCAATGGTATTAGGTGCAAAAACAGGAACTTCAGTATCAAGCTGCTTGAGTGAGTCTATATAGCGAGATAGCCATATGTATATATGTTGCAACTGTCCACTTTTGGCAGTGAGTGTTTCCAGAGGAGCATCTGACTATCGCATTTGTCCACCCCGCTGTTCTTGCTAGYTCTGCTCTCTGTTGGGTGCTAGGGCCACCTGGGAGGCACCCCAAGGAAAGGGAGCACCCATCCCTCCGAGCCAGAGCGCTGAGGAAACACAGCAGCCGGGGTGCTCTTCCTGGAGATGTGTCATCACCGGTGCATTTYGGAGGAGCAAAGCTTGGATTTTTGGGTTTAATCCTCTGCTTGGATTTGCTTAGCTGCACACATATCCAGAGATGTTTATTAGAAGGCTGAAAAAAAGAAGAATAAATCAGAAACTGGGGGAAAAAAAAAGACAATTTTAACAACTGTGAAGCAAATAATTTAAGTTGAGGGCAAATAATCCAATTAGTTTGCAGAGGTAATGCTGATTTCTCTACYTCTGGTGTAGCTTTCAGCATTTGTCTTTGCAACTGATGTACATGCTTTGGGTTTGTGTTGCATATGCAGCTTCATAAGATCAGGGATTTACTGATCCCTGCTGTATGGGAAGAGGTAGCGATGACTACKTTGGTTTCAGCAAGATATATCTTCAGCTGTTTTCACCTTCCAGCTTCTTCTTAGATCCAAAATACTGGAATTACCTTACYTTATTACTTTTCAGTCTGATTTTGTGTTTTCAATGAATTTGGCTATTCCACTGCAGTCAAAACAAGAACGTATTTCTTCTGCTAGTTTTTGCTTCCTAGTTTAGTACTGTGGGGCAGCACATGGAGAGCCACAAACTTCCTGAAAGCCCTTGTGGAATCAAACTGCTGTAGAGCAGTGCCTCGGTGTTACAGCTTTCTTCTTGCACTTGTAGAGCTCCTTTCCCCTTACAGGTGATCATACAGCTGCCCAGGTGGTGATTGCGAGGCTGGACGCAGGCTTGAGGTCAGCGCAGCTGCTTCCCTGGGTTTACAGCTGCTCCTGCCAATTGTAGGTCGCGTTGCTGAACTCGGGGGAAATTTCACAGAGGTGAAAATTGCCTCTAGTGGAGCTGCCTGCGGGGACCAGGGCGGCCTGGAGAGAGGGGAGACTGGAGCAGCTGTGGGAGTGAGCGCTCGCTGCCAGCATTTGTGAGCACTTTGCCTGAAGGAGGGCGAGGCAGAGGTAAAGCCGACCTCGCTTCACTGGGAAGGGTGCATGGCAAACACTGGGAAGGGTGCATGGCAAACACTGGGAAGGGTGCATGGCAAATGCTGCCCAAGCTTTCCCCGAGGGAGGCGTTTCTTGGGGGAATTTGCAGGGAGCCATTTCTGTACAAGACTGCTTTTAGATCAGAAATCGGCTGTATCTCACCCATAGGACAGGAAAAAATGGCTCTRGTAGTTTAGAATCCTTGACTATCCTTGACTGAAATTAGTTATCTATGATCTGCTTGGGAAACAGGGAAATCGATCACTACGTGACAGATCCTGGGATGTGCTTGTTACCTCCAGCATGTATTTCACTGCATTAAACTGCTTTCAAAACAGCAGGAAATAAAGTCCCCCACTGAGGTCTAAAATGTTTAGTCTGCAAATATCCTCTAGCTCAATTTTCTTTAGAATATAAGTGTGATCCAATGAGAGCTAGACCTTAACAGAGGAAGGTCTGAAGCACAAACATGATACATAAGCACGTACAAGCTATGCATATCCACAGATTTTGCATCTAAGTCCTTCTACTTCTTTTTAATTAGCTCAGTATTACAGAACTGAACGTGGTTGCAAGAGGTAAGTAGGTCAGTGTATCTGGCTTGCGGAGGAGCCACGAGGGTGAATTTTTGCAGACCTGTTCAGTCCTGGAGCCCGTGCACAAGCTGTGATTTCCCAAGCCATTAAAAGAKGAGGTGTGTAAATGGGCTCACTTGTTTCAGGGCTCTCCTGGGACCACAGGCTGTAGCACCTCTGTAGACTGTAGACGTGGGGCTAATGGTGCAGAGAGGACCTCCCAAACAGTGTCTCAAATAGATGAGCCAGGACGGCTGCTGTGGAGTCCATCTGCAGCTGGAAAAGGGGCAAAGCTGCTCCACAGTGGCCTGCATAAACTAGGATATGAGAGAGCTAATGATACCTGGTCCAGTTATCTAATAATACATCGTTCTGTTTTCCATAGTGATATGCACTTACGTGCCCATCGAGAAAATAATTTAATTTAGTCCTTTGTGGAATTCACTCCTCTCAGAAGTGCAGCGATCTGGCACTGTGCTTGCTTTACATCTCCCTTCCCTCTTCTTCCACTTGCGTGACGGTGCGTGGTGCCAATCCTTAACAACACCTGGGGAAAGCATCCTTGTTGTCTCAGAAAGCTTCCTTCTGCCAGGAAGGAAGGTTTCTTCTGTCTTTGTTTTAGAAGCTTGCCTKGGTCACGTTGTGTGAAAGATGCTGGGTGTGGAAAGTCAGTAGGAGATGAAGAAGTAAAAAAATGGGCAAACTTGCGGAATCTAGAAATGTCATTTGCAGCTAAATTCCTAGTAGCACTTGCAGTAGACATAAATTGTATAGTTTGGGGTAATTTGGTAGTATTCGAACATATATCTGAAAATTCCTAGTGTAAGGAATCCCAGCTTTATCTTTTGAATGAATACCTCCWGTACATGATATGTTGTACTTTGATTTTCTTTATTCAGATTTCTACAGAATCTGAATAACTGTTTTCACAAGTTATATAAATCATAGATTTAGAGTGGTTTTCTATTTTTATGTTTATTTCTACTTTCTGTGTTTATCATTCTGTACTTTTCTATATATGTGGTAATAATTCAGAAAGTTTGCTATCGTTCCTAGGCACCCTGAGCTAGGAGACTGGTTCCCCACTGTTTTTCTCCCAGTGTTAAATGTCTYGCTTTATAAAGAAATCCAGCAACCTAAGCCAAAACAGCACATTTTATGGCAAAGGTGATGATGGTTTAGTGAAACAGCAGACACACAGTTTCTATTTATTCTTTGCTTCATGGTATTTTTAAGTATTGCTACAGTGTTCTAGATTATCTGTATGTGGTTGACATCAAAACATTTAAGAATGTGGTTATAGYGTAGAGACCCTGTTGCGCTTTATCGCGCAGCATCTGAAGTGTCTCAGCAGGCTGGGACCCTCTGAGGTGCGAGACTTTCTTGATCTGCAGGCAAAAAGATTGGGCAGGTTGGCTCTGCTGTTGCGTTTTCCCTGTTTTCCCACTACTTCTGATGGTTTAATAACCACCCTTTCCAACCAGTTCTACTAATGCTTGGCAATGCCAGTATCACTGACAGATTTAATGACCAAGAGAGGTACCACTCCTAATTTGAAAGTTAGTTTCTGCGAAAAYGCCACAGAATAAAATGGTAGCTCCACACAAAACCTCAAAACCCCTCAAATTTGTACTTATTTATTACCTCTGATGCCCAAACTCTTCAGGCTGGTTTGTCTTTCATTGGCAATCTGTTGTTTTCCTTCATCTAGAGCCCTTGGGAGCTCTATAGGAGGCTTGGCATTCACTCACAAACCTAAACCATACTGACTAGTAGCCTCCACACATATCATAGTATGTGTGGAGGCTCATACTCATATTATAATTTTGCAGTTGTAACATGGAGTAGTGAAATATTTGCTAGCTACCACTTTGTTAGCTATTTTTAAAAAAGAAAATTCGTGTTTTGATGATCTTGTGCTTTAAAAGTAGGCATGGTTAAATCATTATTAACAATGAAAACAAATKGCAAGTTCTTTCACTGGAAAACTTAATTTGCAAAATCCCGGAGGCTGGTGGGGGTTGATCTTGTGCCGGGTGTTTAATTTGGCGCTTCTGATGCACATAGTGCTCTGATCCTAATGACTTTCAAAGGAGGGAGGAAATGAGTTGAGCTCCCCTGCTGCCAATCAGGACTCCCGCTTCTTGCAGGCAGTTGAGAGCACTGGAAAATGACAGCACATCCCTCATTCCAGGGAGAGCTCACAGCGGATTCTTACTCTGTTTCTTTGGGAACCTTTATTTTTTTGTTTCGTAGTCTTTCAAACCTGTGGTGTAGCCTTTCAACCTGGTGCTGGATCCTCAGCCCAGGCTGCTCTTGGTTCCTTCCCTGCTGTGGGAAGACTGGTTTGTCTGGGAGCAGATGGAGGGAAGGATGTGAAAGGGGAGGGAGACCCTCCTCGTGTCCCTGCTACATGTGGCATGGGAGTCCTGGTGGTGGGAAGAAAAGGGCAGATGGACTTTGGGTCTTCCCAACTCTCAGTGGAGCAAATACTCAGAGTGTAGCCCAAACACTTCCTATGGTTATACATTTTCCTGTAGAACATCACAAGAATGAGACTTATTTACAAAATTTACTGATATTCCACTTGTTTGCCTCTTGATTCATCCATCTTTTTTTTTTTTTTTTTTTTCTGTGAAATGATCCTCCTGATGCAACAACAGCAGAGAGTTGATTCATAGAGTTGACCTGAGCCGTGCAGACACCAACTGTGCATTAAAACGTGCCGGTACAGAGCTAAGATCGCCAGCCTTTCCGTGGGCCCCCGTGACAGGCTGTAAGAGCAGGGACTTGCATCGCTCCCCCAGCCCCGACGCAGCTCGGAGAGCTTAGAGAAGGGCTGGAGGAGGGCAGCGTGGTGGGGCAGTGTCGTGGGGCACGTTGTGCGTGTGCAGTGCCAGGCAGGGCGCTTGGGCACAACCACAGCCCAAGCGCCTGGARCAGGCTCSCCAGGGAGGTTGTGGAGTCTCCTCCTCTCTCTCAGGTGGGTCTTCAAAACCCKCCTGGATGCAGCCCTGTGCCACATGCTCTGGGTGTCYCTGCTGGAGCAGGRAGGTTGGACTAGATGATCTCTAGAGGTCCCTTCCAACCTCAACCATTCTGCGATTCTGTGRTTTTTCTAGCCATGACCTTGCCCTTGCTCCAGGAATCCAGCCAGCATCACTGCTGGATCCGATCGGACTGCAGGCACGCAGCACAGGGGTTGTCCTGCCCATAGCAAAGGCACTTAGCCCTTTCCTGAAAACGGTGAGTAAAAACGTGTCTTCCAAGGCAGTGCAGAATGGTGTCAGCTTCCTGCAGGCTTTGCCTTTGAAATGGTGCTGGTTTATATTTTCTGTTATCAGAACATCTTCTCCAGTGCAGTTCCATAATTTAACTCCTCAGGAATTGAGATTTCTGAACTGACACTTCACTTATATGTCTCCCTTTAGGATATGGTGTTTCCTGAGCCTTTAGTGAGCTGCAGCCCCATGGATCTGCAGARCACGCAGGAAAAGGACAAGGCTACTTGATGAGTCTCTGAGCATTTTACACACTGATGAAGTGCAGCAAACAAGCGCGGGACCCTGCAAATTCRCGATGCTGCTTCCAAGAAGCCTGTTGCTTTTGAATTTACTTTTTGCATGCTTTGTTGATATTAATTAACGCTAAAAGAGAAAAGGGCCTTTTATTTTTTTTTTTTTTCTGGAGCTCTTCCTGGCGTGAGAATTGCCCGAGAGTGCATTTGGACTCTGCCACTCCCAAACACAGAGCAGACTTCTGATGGGAGCAACTCCCATCRGGACTTGTTTGCCTTGGCCTGTGAGTTTGTCTGCTTGCTTCTCCTCTGCTGGTTTTCTCCCTGTCATTTATGATAGAAGCCAGTGTCACCAAGCCGTTGCCGCCGCTCTCTGTCCTTTCCGTGAGAATCACTTCCTCCRGGGCAGAGGGAGCAGCTTTCAAGGTCTCAGCTTTATCTTTGCGCTGCTTGTGCAGAGAGATAAAGCATGCTGGCAAGAGCAAAACAAGCCGTGTGTTCAGTAGGATGATCCTGGGCTTCAGCTCTAGTTCTGATGCTGGCTGTCTCACTCACACGCTTGTAAATGCATTTTGCTCCGAGAACAGCCCTAGTGAGAGGAACTGGAGTTCACATACGACGAAATTTCCCAGGCTGCAGTATGGAAAATCTCATCTGACCAGGGTGGAGATGATGCAGAATGAGTAATAGGAATAGGAGTCACCTGGAGGATGTGATAAGAGAAGGGTCCCTAAACGGTAGCAAAGTAAAAAGTATCTGGCTCTTGAACTCCTGATTCCCTGGGGCAATGTGCCTCGCAAGAAAATGTAGTTTTGTGTTGAATTGATAYAGTGACTTGAACTAGGCTGTTTTCAAATAAATACATTTTTATTTGTGAGTATCAGTATATGTTGTGTATTTTGAGTATCAGTGTATTTTTCCACTGATCACTTCTGATTKGTTCTGTTCATTTCTGTTTTGCAAGAGCGACGTGTCAACTGCATTCATATCAAGGAAAGTAGCGAAGCAAAATACAGGACTTGGAAGAGAAGTCCATTCTTCCCTTGTCATGAAGAGGCGCTAGCTGCATCTGACCCATCCCTTGATACAGATATTTTTCTGACCTGTCTTAAGTCTGTTACTGCAAGTCTCCTCTATGACAATGGTTTCCAGCCTCTTTGGGCTAGTGAGCCTCAGTGGTGGTGCAGAGGAGCTAAGTGCCTCCTCAGCAAGTTTGCAGGTGCTGCAAAATTGGGACAAGCAGCTGATACACCAGGGAGCTGGGCAGGYTGGAGGCATGGGCACACTGGAACCTCATGGAGTTCAAAGGGGAGCCCAGAGTCCTGCATGGAGGGACGAATAAGCTCTTTCACCAGTGCAAACCGAAACATGGTAAGTTTAACGGGAACATGAGGAGCAACTATTTTACTGTGAGGGTAGCAGAGCACTGGAACAGGTTGCCTGGAGAGGAGGTGGAATCTCCATCCTTGGAGATGTTCAAAAGCTGTCTGGACACAATCCTTGGGAACATTCCCTAGGCTTCAGCAGGGGGGGAATGGAATAGATGATGCCCGAGATCCCTTCTAACCTCAACCACACTGGGATTCTATGATTCCTAGACAGGGAAAATTATTTTATTGGTAACTGCCTTTTCCCACTTCTCYGCTTTTCATAGGCCCTTTAGAAGGAGTCCGCAGATCCCTGTGGTCATCTGAGTCATTTGTACAGTTGCAGTTGGTAAATTCTGGACTAAACATAACATCCCCAGTTATTTTTCTTGTTTTATTTAACTATCCTTGTTCTTTTCTCTCTGCTCTGCAATAGTCTGCCCTTAGAGACAGTGTGGTGGCCAGGGTGGCTGCACACTGAAGCTGTAACATCTGTAAGTGAAATGGAATGTTTTAGAGTCCAAAATAAAATTTATTTTAAGGTCTTTTATTTATTTTTGCAAAGGCATGATGACATGGGCACATATTTGTGACACTATCTGATCTCCCTATCCTTTCTGGTGAAACTGCTACATATCTACCCATTTCCTCTATTGTATTTGTGCAGGTGATAGTTTCTTCCTCAGTGTGCTCTTCATTTGCTCATGCTGAGTGGCAGCTTGTTTTAAATCTAAACAATTTCTCAAATCCTTTTTAATTCTACTTCTGTCCTTCAGAGCCCTTCCAGATGCTACCTACAGATTAAAAAGCATATTTGCTGCCTCGTTACCCCAAACAAGGCCTAAGAGAGTATCACACACTGCAGCCTTCCTGTTGGCAGTGAACCACTGAGAACCACTTTCTAGGTACAATTTTGTATTATGAAAGAGTAACAAACCATATATTAACTGAAGATACAGAGAATAGCCTAATTCTATCCTCCCCACAAAGGCCTTTTATTCTGTTGTGAGAGAAGAGTGACATAATATGTGCCTAATAAAATAACATTAGCTTTATTTATTTGTTTATTCATTTATTCTAATGCTCTGCAACCTTCTGGGTCCTTGCAAAGAGAGAGCTGATTTACTCTCAGGCTTCCTGTGATTTTATAGTCAGTGTGTCCATAAAATTACTGATCAGTCAGTGTGTACTTGTTCCCCAGAGAGGTATCCAAACTTTCTGCTGAATGGAAGTTTCAAAATTCAGTTCACTCTACATCTTACATGGAATTACCTAGTAATCTGCTTCAATTTGGTTTCCACAGCAGAAAACCAATGCCCTGTATTTTTACCGAAACTGAATTTTCCATCCATTATTTTGATGGATGGTTCCTGGCAAGCTTACTSGCAGTAATCAATGCCAAATACCGTGTGCTTTATTTAGTGAAGTGCAGTGGCAGTGATGACTGGGGTGGTCTGCTCTGGGAGAGTGTGAGGAGCCAGGGAGCAGAGCCCTGTCCCTAGACTGATCCTCCTGTTACGGGTGGAGCTTTAGGGAGTTCTAAATACATCAGCCCAAATTCCTTCCACATAATTTCAAGCATTTAAATGCTAACTCATTTCTCACTGCAGAGAATATAGAGAGTGCTTGGATGGCAATTTAGATGCCACAGTTGAATAAAGTAAGTTAGGCAGATGAATTTGGGCAACGGAGAGCAAGTAAATGCACTTTGAAGTCAATGATTTATGGCATGAATTGACTTAACCCCCTAGTAAAAGCACGGTGACCTTACTAAAAGTGGAAAGCACAGAGAGGAACGCTGTGTGTACTCCGTTTTAGCCAAGAATGGAATGGCTGTGACCATCCAGAATGTTAAGACCAAAAAAGAAAGGGTTGATCAGCCAAATAATTTAGGTCCTGTTCCAACTTGCACTAAAATTAATGGTGGGAGCTGCATTGAGTCTTGGTAGATGAAAGTACTCAGAAAGCACAAAGTCCTTTAGAATATTGTTCTTGCTGTTCAGAAGTTATGTTTAGTTTAAAATTTTTGAGCCTCTTCCTTAAAATGCTGGTTGCAGATCCTGAACTATGGATGACAAATCTGGGTTACAACTGAGCGACTATTAATGCAACCTTAGCCTGTTCCTCTCTTCCCCCAAAGCTATCATTTAAACTTCCTTTTGTACTCTGGCAAATATAACCTGCCAAGACAAGTGGATCTGTGTTTCACTTGGCTTATTTTTTATATAGATGTCTTACAGAGTTTCAAAGTCCATTTAGGAGAGAAATGAAGAGCAGAATCAGGCAGGTTGGACAGGGCCTCTGTGGATGTCTCTTTTTTTGGCCTGCTCCAAGCAGGTSTGGTATGAGCAGGTTGCTCATACACTTTCCCTTTGAATTTTGAGTATTTATAAGGATGGAGTATTTTGATCCACAGCCTTTTTAGACAGCCTTTCCCAGGGGTTGACCAGAACAGAGCCCTGTTGGCATCCCAAACCAGATGACATCCAAAAGCGAGCTCTGAAAGGCCTTGTTGTGATCTCAGTGGATGGACAAGCATCCTGAGTTGCTTGTAGAAACAGAGAGGTCTTCATGAGTGTAGAGAGAGTGTCTGTGGCATCGGTGCTCCGTGCTGATTCTTTGGATAGCATCAGCTGTGGTTTCRCTACAGCCCACACAGTGTGCTCTTGGCCTGGTGTTCTTGAAACCAAGAGAAAACCCAACTTCAACTTGCTCCCTGTCATCACCATGAAGCTTTTCAGGCTGTATCCTCTTAGGTAGGGTGCTACACTGCTTGCTTCTTAGGGCTGCTCACACAGGTCGGTGGGGCAGGTTGCTGGGAGGCCAGGACATGGTGGGAGTTGCTTCTCTCTGGTTTCAGCTGCCTCGTTTCCCGATGAGGGATTGAGGCTGCTGGGTTGTTTGTTTGATTGTTTTTTTCCTGCTACAGCCTTCTCAGGGTGCATCAATATGAACTTTGAGATCCACAAATCAAAGCAGTAAACAAACTGAAAGGAATAATCTACCATCTGATTATTTTTCTAAAACAACCTCTTGAATTTAGGGACTCCTCTAGGCCTTTTTAAAAAATATTAGAATTCTGCCATCACTAGTCTTGCTATGCAGCCTTACGCTGCCTAGGACAGTTGGAAACAACCTTTGTTTGGACCTCAAAACTCCAATGCGAATACCACTAATTAACTTTCGGTGTGCTGAAGTAGCAAGAGTATTAAAATAGGCTTACATATTGTTTCCCAGCTGACTGTATTGTTCAGTTGTCGTTAAGCTACCTATTTCTAGCAAAAATACCTTGGCTATGAGTAAGGGAAGTAATTTCTGTCTGCTTGGCCAGAAGTCCAGATGTTAATTTTTGTTAGTGTTTAAATTAAATAACAGCACCATTTTGTTCTTTTCCTTGGTATTCAGAATAAATTGATTACGTAAATGCAATTAAGACAAGCTTTTTCTCTCTTTTTATTGTGCAGGTTGGCAGTACCAATATTAGCCTGCTGCCTTCATGACTTGTTTATGAATATCTTACGTTGCTTTACAGTCAGTTAATAAAATTAAAGTTCCTGAACTGAAGGGGAAAAGCTTATTTATTTTTAGAATAATGGTCCAGATGTCCATAGCATAGAGATAACAGTCCTATTTTATCAAAGTACATCCTCAATAGAAGACACTTTGCAAAGCACGTCTTAATGGAAACAGTGTTTAATCTAGCTCCTGTCTCTGGATTTTATGTATGTGGCTGAGTTCTTGATCCAACACTGTTGAAGATGGTGGTTACGTATGATGTGGTATCCTTAGTTCCACAACTGAACTATTATGCCTTAAAAGACTAAAAAGAACAAAAAAGAAAAAGAAAAAAGAAAAAAAGAAAGAGAGAGGGAGAGAGAAAGAAAGCCAAATACTTCCCAACAGAAAAAGTTAGGAGCAATCCATCCCTCCAAGAGATTCATTTTACAGTTTTTACATGTTCTTCCAGCATCAGCATTCAATTAATAAACCTTTTATTTCTTTCTTTTATGTCTAGAAAGGTCTCACCCCTGCAGGGCTGCTGCCTCCCTCGCTTAATTGCAGTTTTTAGCTCTTTTCTCTCTGATTCTCTACATCTGCAGATGAAGAGCACTGCAAGTCTGGTTTGACATTAGGAGTCTGGAGGCTTGCTCAGGCTTTTACCAGGAGCATACTGCTGGTCCACACATTACTATTAAATGGCATTTATGTTAAGACACCCAACAGAAAAGGCACAGAAAACATATTTAGAGGAAT